TCTTCATTATAAATGCTGTTGCCCATACGAACCGACAAGTGTTTCACATGAACCTGTTGCTTCAGTTTCGATTAGACCTGTATATTACTTATATTGATGAAAGTAGGCGAAATATAATGCCGAAACTATGTGCTGGACGTATGAATACGCATACTTACCGCTAAAGAACTTGATTTCACTGAACAGAAGCCAATCATCAGCAAAAAATGCTTTTAGTTGTAAAAATTGACCGATACGCCCTTCTAAATCCATTTCAATCGTCTGCAAATCGGTGCTGTGGTTGTTCATCGGAAAATCTTGGACAACAACCGGCTGCCCAGAGAACATGGAACCATGAACACTGAAGCGCACTTCAATTCGACGCGGTAAGCGAATCTAGAAGAGGAAACATGAGAAATGAGTATACAATTTGAAATTATACATTTTTCGGTATTAAACGTTTCTTTATTTGTGCACTGAAACTATCTGAACGGTCCGTTTTTGTTCTTGGTGCCAGTAATTAAGACACCATTCACAATTCATGGGAAGTTTTCAGTGACTAGTTAAACTCGAATAGTGACTGTAGAAGCACTATGTAAAATATTTTGGTACACGCGATCTTTTACCGGGGTTTCGGGAGTTGTACCAGGTTCATCCTTATTTAAGATCACCTAAAGAGTATCCCACTCTCTCCAAGAACAGATGTACGAACTAGCATCATCATGTACTGATTGTGAAGATCAGTGACATTATTGGACTTTGCGTGCTCAGTCTGGATGTGTAAAATGCACTCAGATTGTATTCAGCCCAACTGATCGAATATCTGACTACAGTTAGAGTTCGATAACTACTTCGTTCGTTAACTTGTTTGGCCGAGGACTCGGATCGGGACGACGCGAAACGGAAGGTAACATTAATTGGGGTAAACCTTCATCTCTTGCGATGTTTGCAACATCATCGTCATCGTACAGCGAGATACAGTGAAGCGAGCTTCCATACTCGAAAGCGGATAACTAATTGAGGGATTGCATCGACTCGCAGTAACAGTTTTCTTTTGGACGAACCCCGAATAACTAGTTTGTGGACGCTATATTTTTTGGTTGTAGTTCGTCTTCGTGGTCTGCACTGAAGGCATTTGGATTACTGGTGAGTATGAATTGACTGTGAGTGAATTTCCACTGATTGTTGACTTTGCTAACGCTTATTGTTAGGTTCGGATAACACACCTCTCACTAACGGCCAAAGCCTGCTGGGCTCGGGTTCAGTGTGATTCTTGCTATTGTATTGCTCAAACAGAACATTTGTGCATTGCTAAGTGATTTTTTTTTAAAACGCCCAAAAACATAGTGGGACAAGTTAATCGTGAGTATTTTCTTCTTCTGCAAATGACAATAAGTGCTATTTCGATTGGAAGTTGATTACTTTGACAAAAGGATGGAAAATTCATTTTGATTGTTGAATAGTGTCAAAGAGATCAAAGGTATTCCACAACTGTAGGCTTTCATCATTGTAATCAACAGTGCAAATGCAACAACGAATGCACTAGTATTCCGGTTTTTATTGAAATTCGGTGAAGTTAAAACCAATGCATAATTTGACACCGAGTTTTAATTTCAAATTCAGTCAACTGTGAATACGAAGATGATCGTTAATAAAACCTCGAAGACCCTTATTGTGGCTCAAATGTTAGTTTGGATCGACTACAAACTCCGCAGAATTCTAGAATTAGCACAAACGCTGCGATGAAAAAAAGAAAAAGTCAGCTTCAGAAACCAAAATTTTGCAACATTTTTGAGTCTACGCTGTTCAAAAGATCGTAGTCCGTATCCACACGTGAGTTCGAATCCGACCGAGGTTAGCGATTATTTCGCAGCACAAACATAAATGAAAACCTCCGAAAAATGTGCTCAAACAACATCATTTGAATATAGTTGAAGATTCTAACGACACGAAAGCAATGAATTTAGTTGCAGTTTAACGATCTCACACCTTCGACTGATAACCCAAGCATTTGTGAAAGTAAGTAGAATATCACAGTCCATTTTCCATTTGAGGTCTGCTCAGTTTAAGCCATTCAATCAACGTGGACCTATGGAAAGAGCCAACTCGGACTGTTCTGTGCGGATGTGGACAAATTCTCATCAGTTACATCATAACCATGTTAATCTTTTCTCATTTTACCAGAACTCTGTGCCACTATCTCCGTGTTCTATTTGAGAAGCACAAATTTGCTAAGCTAACACAAATCCAATTGTCTGTTACTGCGTTCTGGTTGGAACCGATTATCGAACCGCTTATTTGCGTGATTAAACTACGGCAAACAATTTATCTTTTCTAATTGCCCGGACAATTCTGGATCATGTTAAACTGCGAATTGGGTTAAACATAAAAGGAGTGTCAGACTATTTTACTGGGGACTATAGAGGTTCTTTCCTCTGGAGTTCGGCTGTTTGTGTGCGCCTAGAAAGAGTTTAGGTCTTTGAATCTTGCTGAAGCCACACACATACACGCACTGATTTAAACAAACTTTTTCCTAATCTAATGAACACTGTCTTTCAGATACAACCAGATTGAATTGGTGTTCAACTTCAGACAAATCTATCTACTCTGCCTTGAGCGTAATGAATTTACGAGTGCTTAATTGAAGAAAACGGGAGATTGATTGCTAATTTTGATGATTTAGTTCGGCTGCTATCGCCAAAATGGATCGGGATGAGTGACAAACAGCAGGCACCAGCCTGGAACCGTCAATTCTCCTTAGAGTTACTGCTGAGGAACAAAAGTACGCAAAAAGCAATAGCCTAAGGAAAGTTCATGGTGTGTCCGCTGCATTTACTCCAATTGAGTTATATCACAGAAAAACCCGTTTACCGAATACCCTGTTTCAGTTTCAGTTTTCAAAACCATTAACCTTTATGCGGTGGTTTTGGTTGCTGTCTTTTGGCTGCCCACTTGGATAAAAGATCTGGCAGTTTTTACAACCAAATTGTTTTGTGTATCGCATGGAAACAATGTGTGAGAGAGAGTAATCCGGTTAAGCTAAATTCACCACAATTTGTGACGCCAACCTGGTCCAAAGCAGCTCAGCGTGTGAATGGGGGTGTTAGTTCAGTCACCCGACTACACTCTGAGCTCTGAGCAAAGTGTGACAGAGTCGAAATCAGAGACTTTCCATTCGAATGGTCCAAATTCAAGTCATTCCAAAGGTCAAACAGGTGTTTGTTGTTGCTGTTGTGGGTTTTGTTGAACACTTCGAATTAGTTGGATCAACGGGCGTTTTTGTTATCACAGAACAACCTACACTAAACTATGAACAGACTGCTTTGTGCAGACCACCTCACATATTCACACATGATGTGAGTGAATGTATTTATCTACCTCGAAAAATATCATTTTCAGTTGACTTTATCCTACGGCTCTCCCAAACTGCTCAGATCGTCCACTATCAAGATTGATCCACCATGATCGGAAGGTGAAAAGTCGGAAGTTAGGAGAACAGGCCCTTGAATCAGATGAAAAATTATCGTAAAACGGGTTAATCGAACCGCCCATCAACCAATATTCCAGTCAAAAGGCCAAAAAGCAAGCATTAGACAGCCTCCCTTTTACGAAATCTTCAGCTTATTCGGTCCCTTGCGTACGTCTAAACAGATTTTCACAAGGTGAAGGCAGATTTCATTCTTTTCAGCTGTATTGTGGGATATGAATTCAGCACACAACTAGTGGTAGGAAAATTGATCATTAACTCACCTTTTCTGGATAGTTGTTAGATGTGTACAGTCGTAATCGTTTGAAATCGCGTACTGAAGCAAAACGAAAGAGCATATCAACCACATCATCCGAGTTTGTGGTGGTCTTGGTTACACGCCATCGATTACGATACCATCCGACAAACCAATGATTTTGTGTAGATGTGTCAGCTTCTTCCATGGCAGGGTTAGGCGCAGAGCCGCGGTAGGGTGAGNGGGGGCACGGCTAAATCTGTCAGACAGCCCAAGCCACCATCTAACAACCCACCGGGCTCAACTCGATAGCCATCGTAACAGGCGTCTGAGAAGGCAGTGCCACCGCCTGCCTCGTGAAAAACGGAGTGATTGTTTGGTGAAGTGATGCGGTTGTTGCTACTGCTGCCAATTGCCATCTTAGCCCGGTCGGTGGGCCTCGGCGTGCCTTTGACGGGCAATGCATGTGATGGTGTGGGGGCGTGGAATGGAAACACCGCCAGACTACCTTCTGGGATCTGATATTCCACAAGGTCATCTTTACATTAAGTAATTGAATAAAAAGAAAAGGGGAAAAAAGTTTCAAACAAAGGAAGAGAAACTTTTCTGGCAAACGGAATCTGAATAAAAGGGCAGAAAACAAAATGACTTAAGGCTTAGCTCGTACGAGCGAAAAAGCAGAACGTGAAATAATGGGTAGAAAAAATAGAAATATAATGATTTCAGCTGGACGAGAGAACGAGGGAGAATCGAATAACCTAGTTTCATACAATATCGGGAGGTGTTTTCATGCCTTGATTTTGGGGACGATGTTCTTATTACAGGTTGATTTACTGACCCCACACAACAGAGCCTTATCACACCTCAGGATCCGTCTGTTGTTTCCAATTGTAAGTGTATTTGAAAAATCGTATCATCTCCATAGATAAGGCAAACTGAATAACTTGTGACTTAAAACTTGCGACTTCATTACACTGTAACTATCCCACAGTAGGTTAGTACAATGCACCAAATGGTGTTGTTGAAGCTGTTCATCCTCAAACGGCTTAACGGAACAAAGGACAAGGAGTTTAAAGTAAGCTTTTTATGGAGCACAAACATTCGGAGTCACGATTGACGATGGGCTTCTCACAGAACCTATTCACTCTACATAGCACCTTGGAACGTGAATGAAAATCAGAATAATAAATGGTTAAAGCATGGTATTCTGTTGTCGAATTCATTTTTGATAACCGACAATATCGGTTCACAAGTGTAACTAAACACAACCGGAAAAGCAAACTGCATTCTGATCGATCGATTGATCGGGAGAAATAGAGCACCCGAATTTAGTTAGCCATAATTTAATTCTGAACAAATCAACTTGATTTCCATCAACCTAAAAGGTGCTCGGGACAAAGAAATTCCCATCGCGACGAAAGCACTTCAAAGTGTCAGAATTCAAACGGATAGACTTTTTTCTACAATGAGAATAAAGCCGATAGATAACAGATCACCAAGGGGAATAATTGGCACAAAAGTATACTCAATCCATTGGCTCGCAGTTATCTTATTTGACAGTCCCGTCATGAATCCATAAACGCTTACCGGTGAACCGGCATCCATAGGCTCCAAGTCGAACGCAAACAAAGTCCGGACTATCCCGATACGGGTAGATACGAATCCAACGTGCAATCAGAGGAGGATCAAGTATGACAAATTTGGGGACCAGTGCTGTGGTGCTCCCATCTAATCGTGATGTCTATTCCGAGAGAGGAAAGAGGCGGAGAATAATGATGGTGGTGATGAAAGATAATGTAAAATACCGAAACTAGTCATTAATAAAGCCCAGTAGCCAAAAAAGAATACCGTATACGGATAGCTCAACTTGTAGCTCTTCAGTTCATCACTATAATTGACTCAAATAGGAATTCGGTTCGTGTTCAGTTCACCGCCGTGAGTCTGAATTAGAGCAATTGCTGTTAATTTTCTCTCTCGCTCTCTGTGAGTGGAACGCACCAGATTCCCGTTGTTATCCTTATTCTCTCGAACAAGTTTCGCACAGTGAGAAAAAACTTCAGACGAATAAACTACTTGTTGTTCATGTGAGCTAGACAGTTTGCGTAAGGGTAGCCAGAGTATGGTTCTATTCTTACACGAATATGTGGGCTGGGAGACTGAAACCACCTGTATTTATTGTAGCAATTACCCTAGTGAAAAACCAGAGTCTGATTACCTATAAGAGCCTGCTTTCTGTTTCGACTAGTTCGATTTTGCAGTCCGTACACTTGCACTTGCGTAGGCTACTACTAGTGGTTTAGCGTGCGACTGTACCAAACAGTCCCATTGATTTCGATGGGACTCAGGGGGTTCTTGATATTCAACAAGTGGTGGTACAGTTGGAACAACCCAGATATCTAGCTTTTTTAATTCCTATTCGTGCGGTCCAATATCTGATAAACAGTGGTTATCTATCTGTTGAATATGCCCCGACCCTTTCGGCGACGCAAGGGAACTAGGTAATCTGATTTCACTTTTTCTACAAATCTCGGAATGTTATTTACTTTGTGCGAAATTTAAGTAATATACCTAACTGATTGGTTAACACTGAGTGTGGAGTGTAAATCCTCTGGGTTTTTTCTTTGGATTCAGTTGAGCTTGTCGTAATGCCAGCAGTGACTATTCATCACGGCTTGCAGATGCAGGTAGTGGCTCTCTATTATCCACTTTTAACAGGTTATTTCTCCAAATGCAGTACTTCACCCTTTCTCATTCTCTACTCCCATAATTTCCTCCGTGGGTATTCTTTAATCAATTATACTATACACATGGTCATCTCTTTTTTCATTGTATTTATCCAAAGTGCTCCTTTCTTTGATTATATAACAGTAAAATAAGCCAGTGTCATCTACAGATTATACTATTCTTGTAGCTTCATTATTCTCAAGGCAAGCAAATATATGATGTTAGTGGTACTCAATCGTTTAGGGTCATCAAACCAGCGATNAGCGATCCACAGTTCATGTTCGAATCCCGCCTATTTTCTCCATTGTTTGTTTTTCCCCAGGTCAGGTTTGACTGTTCACAGTCCCGTTCTTCGAAATCGATTGTTTATGAAAGGAAGTAGAACTTAAAAACTCAACTTGCAACCCTACCATGACCTGTACAAATGTACAGATGATTTTTTACCTGAGAAAAGAGCATCCGATGCAATAACATCGTTGATACTGGTTCTGATTTATCCGTGTACGATAANGTACGATAAATCTTTATATGGATAAACATCAGTCTAGTATCTTGGTGTTATCTTAAAATAATACTTTTAAACTGTCTATCAGACTAAGAGGGCTTCCCTTTTATATTCTTCGTCGTAAATCTTATGCTTTCCTTCTAAATTGTGAAACGGTTTAGGCAAAGTTGCATCTGACTCCACCGGTTAATTTATTCCCCAATAACTTTTCCTCATTATGCTTGTTACAGACTTCAAATTGATATGTAGACCTCTTGAAATGTATCCGTAGGCAGTGGTTTACATCGCATCCGACACCCCGAAAGATGTTAAACTTTTCCGGAAGAAATGTGGCGGTGATGGCCCGGTGTTAACGTCACCAAATTATCACTCCGGAGGATGTGTGCTCGAATCTCTCCACCAACGCCCGACTTTCCCCATTTTCTGTGTTGCACGGCAACACTTTGATAAGCCGCCTCCCCTGTCCTGAAAATTGTATCTTTGTATATTGAACAAAAGGAAGTAAAAAGGAAAAAGGAAAGGAAAAAGCTGACACTGCACGTTCTCTTCGCAACAATTTAAGACAGTGTATATCATCGTTGAGCACTCGTTTCACATACAGTCACCTGCATACAAGTTCAACGTCGTACCTGACCTCGCATAGCTATTTTGCTTCTCCAACTGTATGTGTCTATAATGAACTGAAGACCCGATTGAGGTAATTAGGATTGTTTTGATTTTGGTCTTGTAAACAACCCACTATTTCTGACGCTTCAACTGCTGCTACCTATTCACCTGTGAATAAAATGAAGCAAACATTTGACTTCCCTTGAAGATGTCTCATTGTGTTCTTAATTCCATCTGGCTCTCTCTAAATACATATCTGCTACCAGAAAAGCATTTCTTATTTTCTTCAACCATAAGGACGTTTTTTGACGAGGGGACTGCCTCTTAGATAAGTTGTTGAGGTTAGCACTGCACTGCGACCTTGTGGTTCCTGAAGTGGTGAAGCATAGACCGATGGTGTTACTAATTGATCAGAATCGGAGAGCACTGACAGATTCTGTCTACAATGAACTGATCTGAGCTGGTTAGTGACCACATTGCCACAGTAAAGGTATCCGATGAGCATCAACGCCATCTAAGCCTGACTTCATAAGTTGGACTTCAGTCAACCGATTAAATAGAAAGAATCCGTTGTCGCTGATGGTGCTATATACACATGCGATCGAAAAAATCTGCCATAAACAGGAGAGTGTTTACTTGGGTTTAAAGAAGTAAAAATGGGAACGAAATCAAGTGCCATTGAAGAACATACTCTGTCAGAATCACGTTTTCGATAGGTTCGCCACTCCGGTTCATTTGGTTCACGTTTGTATCGAATATAAAAGTATGGTGTAAATCGAGATCCCTTTGGAAGCGATGGGTATAAGAAAGATAAAGCGAAATATTAGCAAGAGGCAAGAAATAATAATTGAAATATAAACTGACAAATTGATTGTTTGACTGACTGTGCCTACTAAAATTTTGGCAAATTATCATGAAAGCGAAGTCAAGCCAACTGAACCACCAATCATTTATTTCAGTCCGTTATACCATGCAATACCAAAGGATGTCATTTACTTGTGTTGTGAGATACTACTCACTTGTGAGTAGTCGGTAACTTTCGGTGATTAAAAATAGAACA